ATATGAGCAAGAGAAATGGCACACAATTTAATTAAAAATCAAATTGAGCCAAGAATGTGATAACTTATTAACCAGAAATGTAAAGAAAACAAACTAATAACAGCTTCTGAGCTGTTGAACTAGTTTTTAATGAATATGTTTGCATAAAAATACTGACTTGCTTTTTTTTTTTTTTTTAAATTCTTCAAATGCATTCAAATGAAACTGAGGAACACTTGGGAACTAAGATGTTCATCCTAAGACTAATGGTCAAATTCAAAGCCTATGTTCATTACCAAACTGTCAAGAAGCAATTTAAATCTTATGCTTATCAAGGCAACCAAAAAGTCAGAGCTTTAGGGAAAAAGATTATAGGCAGTGATCTAATTGAACCCCCTCATTCTAAGAGACTGACTTTCATTCTTTAAGTAATTAGTGAGCATCTTTTATATGCCAAGTACTATACCAGGAGCTCTGGTAGCATGTGCCTAAGGCACTTGACTGCTAACCAGAAGGCTGGCTGGCGTTCAAACCCACCAGCCACTCCTTGGAAGGAAGGTTGGGCATTCCTACTTCCGTAGTGATACTGCCTCAGAAACCCAAGGAGGGGTCGCTATGAGTCGGGGCCAACTCGATGGCAAATAACAACAACAACAACAACATACCAGGAGCTGGGAGCTCTGGTAGCATAGTGCCTAAGGCACTTGACTGCTAACCAGAAGGCTGGCGGTTCAAACCCACCAGCCACTCCTTGGAAGGAAGGCTGGGCAATCTACTTCAGTAGTGATACTGCCTCAGAAACCCAAGGAGGGGTCACTATGAGATAGGTCCGACTCAACGGCACACAACAACATACCAGGAGCTACAAAGGAAATACTCATCAACTCAGTCATGATTTATTTTTCAAGATTACTGAAAACGCTAGCATGAATTAAGGAATTAATTAGATACATATTAATAGATTTTTTTAAAATTGAATCAGCTTCTCAACAGACTCTGAAAAGACTTTTGAAAAATATTTAACATCCTTTCCTAAAAACCACCTTAGAAACAAACGTTTTTGTTATGTGCTGTCAAGTCAACCTGACTCATAGTGACCCCTCCTTGGGTTTCCAAGGCGGTATCACTACGGAAGTAGATTGCCCAACCACAGGACAGCCATTTCTTAATTTAGTATATTATGTCTATTCGGAACCCATAGCCACCACTAGGCCTAATGAAGAATTATTAGTGACATGTCATTAAATCAAGAAGAAGATAGAAAAGTACTGTATCATCATTTTTATTTACTATTGTTCTATAAGATCTGGCCAATGCAATAAGCAATGAAATAGAAATAACGGACTTCATGTTTTCCCTTTATTTTAAATATATGTCATTATTTACAGATGGTGACTATTTTCCTGGTAAACTGTTACTCATCCACTGTTGGGAAAAGTTACTTGGCAATAGGTATCAATTCACCTTTCAATGCACTTCTGGGATGCTATCATAAAAAAAAAAGAATTATTATAAAAATTCATTGCAACTTATTATTTGGAATAGGGTAAAACTGTTCAAGAGTAGAATGCTTAATTATAATATTTTCACTCAAAAAATATATAATAAATTGTAGTATATACTTATTACATAGACTATGCAGTAAAATTTTTAAATGGAAAAAACTCAAGATAAGATGATAATGTGAAAATGGCCCAGCAGCATCAGACCTCCTCTTCCAACTCAACGATGAAAAAGGAGAATCATTATGAGCATGAGTAGCCCAAGACTGATTGCTATGAGGCAGGGCTCGGAAATGCCTCCATCCTCCAAACTTTTTACCATTTCTGACACCAGCCATCTCTCCCATGGTACTCTCTGCTTCTTTGCTGGTTTGATAATTCATTGCAATGGCCACATAAAACTCCAGACCATACTTACAGTGAGGGTGTTTATAAGGGAACAGGTTATAATTCAGCATCAGAAATGACTCAGAATGATTCTTCAACTCAGTATAACAGTTCTTCAGTCAGGACAGCTTCTCAGTCATGCCCACAGGCAGGCCTTTCCCTGGTCCTTGGCCCCTTGGCCTCTCAGCCCTCAAGACCTCAAGCCACTTAGGCCCCACAGCCTCTGCCCTCTGCCCTCTGCCCTGCATGGGCAAGTGTTAGAAAGCTCTTTAGCTCTACCAATAAGTGCTGAGAAGCACCTCACTCCACCAGTAAGCCTCAGCTAGAGGTGCTTAGCTCTAGCTCCATGGGTTGGTAAGCCTAGCTTCTTTGTGGGTAAGTAAGCCTAGCTCTGTCAAGTGCCCAGAGGTACTCCACTCTGCCAGCAAGCCTGCCAAAGGGGCAAGGAGATTGCATCTTCTGACCTCCTCTAACCACACAAGAGGAAGACAGAATCACTGTCAATAGCCCAAGGCCTATTCCTGTGAGGCTAGACATGCTGTCTCCCTTCAGCCCTTTCACCAATCCTGACACCAACTGTTCCTCCTGCAGCACCCACCACCTCTCTGCTGGGTTCAATAATTCACTGCAGTGGCCACACAGAACTCAAAGATTATGGGGTTTATTAAGGAACCATCAGGGTACAATTCAAGTTCAGGAACAATTCTGTTCTGGTTACCTAGTACTACTCTGACAAGAATATATACCACAAATGGGATGGCCTTAACAAACAGGAGTTTATTCTTACAATTTTGAGGCTTTAAGTCCAAGTTCAAAGTGCCAGGCTCTAGGGGCTGGGTGAAAGCCCCTCAACCTTGGGGTCCAGCTCTGCCTCCTGCTCCTGGCCCACTGGAACTAGAGGCATTTCTTCACTCAGACAGCTGCTGGCTGCTGAGGCTGAGAAGCCCCAAGGTTGACAAGTAAAAAGACACTGCCGGTGTTACCAAACCACATGGCAGGCCATTAACTTAAGTCCATTTTACTCCCAAGGTTGGCAGAGCATAGTAGGCTGCTGGGCAACGACACAGCTACATACAGGGTCCAAGCGTGCCATAGGCTAGAGACCATTCCCAAGGCTTCTCCTTATACACAGGAAGCAGACCACATCCAAAGGCAGCTACTCAGCTTCTTGTGGTAGATCCCACGATGGAGTTGATTGCCAGTCTCATCATGGGGAAATTAACTACCACCAGCTGCCCAGCCACTCAACCAGGCCCAGCCAAGTTGACACACAAACATAACTACCACAAATGCTTAGTCTCTCTCGGCCTGCTGTCTCTCAGCCAACAGTCTCTCTCAGTCTCTCTTCCAGCAGTGCATGTCTCTTGGTATCTCTCTCTTAGCAATGTGCATCTCTCGGTGTCTCTTTCTTGGCAGTGTGTGTTTCTTTCTCAGCAGCATGTGGCTCTCAGGAGCATATCTTTCTCAGCCAGCTCAGCAGCATGTGGCTCTCAGGAGCATATCTTTCTCAGCCAGCAGTCAGAGAGACACCTTCTGCCTCTAGGAGGGCTCCCTTTGAGCTTGGCAGAGTGGCCAAACTAACCAATCATAACCTCAGAATTCTGAGCAAACTTCCCAGAACAATGCTTTGTTCCACTAGCAACAGAAATATCCCAGGTGGATAACTTTAACAATCAGGAGCTCCTCAGTTGCTCACGGCAAATTCCACCATGGAGTTTACAAAGACTTACGGCTAGAAAAGCCATACCAGGTAACTTACTACACCACAAAGCCTCTTGTCCAAAGATGCTCAGTTTCTTATACCTTGGGTGAGGCAGCCTTCTGCACCATCTCCTTCCACCCTGCTAGTTCTGCTGCCCCTGTTTTTCTACTTCTGCTTCTCTCCATCTCTCACCATCCTCAGTGTTAAAGCTCTTTCTATCTCAAGGGTCTAGGATGTTTTTAGCACATGGATCCTGGGCCAAAAGGATGTGCTCCACTCCTAGCTCTTCTTTCTTGGTGGTAGTGAGGTCCCCTCTGTCCACCTCTGGGATTGCTTATTTTAAGTCTAGCAGGATGGCAAAACTTACCAAGTCCCTTGTTAGGGTTCCATACATCTTATTTGTATGGTCCTCCCTTGCCCCAAGAAGGAGCTCTGGTGGCACAGCTGTTAAGGTATTTGGCTGCTAACCAAATGGTTGGTGGTTCAAACATAACAGTTGCCTCATGGCAGAAAGAGAAGGGAGTCTGCTTCCATAAATATTTACAGTCCTGGAAATCCTATGAAGCAGTTCTGCTCTGTCCTATGGGGTTGCTATGAGTCAGAATGGACTCGATGGCAGTTGGCAGTAGTATCCCCACAAAGGGTGCCATGAATCTTATTAGCATTATTAGCAAGCTATTCAATAACTTTGGTGGTCTACAAGCATGTCATCTGCACTGTCCCACATAATCATTTCATAGGAGTTACAAGAGTACGGAGAGAAAGGCCATATAAAAGTGAACCATCATACTACATGCATATAAAAACTGAGGACTAAATTGTTTCTCTGTTATGAATAGAGATTTGTAAATCATATGTACACTTAAGTTCAAAAACCAAAAGAAAACAAATAGAAGACATTTAATAGGTTTATTTTGATAGTAGGAGATTAGCTAATTTTATTTTTTTTTAATTTTCAAATGTAATGAATTATACTAAAATATTATTTATACAATAAGTTTTATCAAAGAATATTACACTAAGTGGAAGGGGATGGAGTGAGAGTAGAAAGGGGAAAGCCACAAAATAAATCAACAAAGTGACTTTCTAGAAACCCAGATGCCACTCACAGATAGACCATGGTTCACTGATAAAATGGGGTTAACATTGCCAGCAAAGTGCTCCTTCACTAAGCCAAGCCTGGAGAAAGTGCCCTTCTGTGAATCTGTCTAACCAGCTCAACAGGTTATTCTCCCACCTCACCCCCTCTGCCACTCTCAAAGCTCCAGCTGGTTTCACCTGCTACATAAACATTGCACACTAAGCAGTTAATCCCACCCCCAGGCAAGATGGCAAAGTAGACAGTGAGAGTTGTAACCTGGACACAAAAAGGCATTTTTGTGAGCTGCTTCAGAACCCAAGGGCCTTCCTTCAGCCCCACCTGCCCTTACCTGTTGAAGCATTTCTTCAGCAGCATTGAGTTTCACCTGGTGTCCTTCCAGACATACTTCCAGGTCCCGGATCTTCTCCCCTTGGGCTTCCACTTGATCTGTGAGGACACTCACCTGTCCCAGGAAATAAAGCAAAGGTGAAGGAGCAGAAACTGTGCATGGGGTAGGACATTCTCCCCACGGCAGGTTAACCACAAGATCATACTACTGAGCCTGACATAACAGGAAGGACTTTTCCTTTGTAGGGTAAGGGAAGTGAACTAGATGAAGGAAATTCCAGTTGGGTACTTACCTTGTCAGGAAGTCTCTCAGCCACTGCCTGAATGATGTTGGTCACATTTCTGGCTCTTGATAGACTCAAGGTAGCTGCCTCTGAGCTAGACCCTGCTCCTTACTCCTCTCTTATAGGCATCACACAGGCAACACAAATCTCAAGGCATATCTCAGCTGGCTTGCCAGAGCTTCTGCCACCTCATCAGGAAGAGTAATCCAAACTTCTATGCAAATTAACCAGTGACTACTTCTCTCATAAGGGTGTGAGGATTGCTCACCTATCAGGCAAGTGTTTTGAAGCAATTAAGGAATGTGGGGAGTAAAGGGCATGTATTAGCACTGACAAAACTTGGCTCCAAAAAGATTTTCTTGTTTCACAGGCCAAAACATGACTCCAAGTCATAAGTATAGAGAAGCCACATGACACATACAGAGGCAGGAAAAAGTCATCTCTCTGAAGAACAATGAGAATCTCTATTGGAATTATCAATTAATTAAAAAGACATTTGCAATAGTCATTTAAAGTATGCCCTAAATACATACTGAGCTTTTGTAGCCTTCTCTATTAGCATATTGTCCCACAATCCTTTTTCTTTTTCTGTCCTTTTAGAGAGAGGCCTCAAAGCAGGAAGATGAAGAAAGAAAGGGTGGCTTCCCAAAAGCAACCAAGTGTTGATAAAATGACATCCTTTAGACCCTTTAAGGGAGCTCTGGTGGTGCAGTGCCTAAGGCATTTGACTACTAACCAGAAGGCTGGTGGTTCAAATTCACAGCCACTCCTCAGAAGGAAGACTGGGCAATCTACTTCCATAGAAATACTGCCTCGGCAACCCAAGGAGGGGTCGCTATGAGTCGGATCCAACTCCACAGCAGTGAGTTTGGTTAGTCTGGTTGGTGGCTCAGTGCCTAAGGTATTTGACTGCTAATAAGAAGAGTGGCAGTTCAAACCCACCAGCCATTCCACAGAAGGAAGATGGGAGAAATAAATCTGCTTCAGCAAAGATTTACTGCCTTGGAAATGAGGGCCACTATGGCACACAACAACAACAACATGTACTCAATGGCAGTGAGTTTGTTTTTTGGTTTTGAGTTTCAGACCCTTTGTTTTTTAACCAATGGTTGAGTAATTGCCATCTGCACACAGATTATCCTAAATCATTTCTCAGGCTGTGAAGGATTAATATCAGTCACAGTTGCAGTTGAGTCCATGACAACTCATATGACCCCATGTGTGTCAGAGTAGAATTGTGCTCTATGAGGTCTTCAATGGCTGATTTTCTTCTTGGAATCTCTGGGTGGACTCAAATCACTACCCTTTGGGTCAGAAGCTGAGCACAGTTAACTGTACCATGCAGGGACTCAAAGGACGATGCATGAACAGTTCATGTGAATTGATTTACAAGTGTTTAAATAAACGTGACAAATTATAAAGGCCTCAGTTTAAAGAGAAACTAATCTAAATTAATAATGATGTTAAACTTTTTATTTTTAAGTTCCCAAATGATTAATGAATTACTGAAACATATCCCTGGAGTAGATGCATGGTGTGAGCTATTTTGATTTTAATCCAAAATAGGCTACTTTTGTCACCTAGGTCCATACTAAACACAAACTTTTTTTGTGATTATTTTTGTTGAGCTCAACACTATGAACAATCCTGGCCTTTTCAGCTGCTAACTTCACTTTTCAAAAGGTTAAGATTTCAGGGGAGTGGGCTTTGCTCCCTGGGTTCTAGAGTTTCTGTTTGGGAAGAATGTTTCATGGTTAATTTGGTTATGAGGATTAACACATGGTCTGCACCATGTCTTGGAGTCATGCACTGGAGGTATCCAGGGTCCCTAGCATTCTACCGCCTGTTCAGCTGCCTGTAAGACTCAAGCTACACAGGGCTGCAGATTCTTATAATGTCAGTCCTCACTCTAAGTACTGCATGGAGAGCTGAAAAATGGGGACAAAATGTATAAAAACCCTACAATAAACAAATAAATACAATAATTCCATAAAAACAAGTATTTATTATGTGCTAAGGATAATTTTAGGAGCTCTGGTAGCGTAGTGCCTAAGGCACTTGACTGCTAACCAGAAGGCTAGAGGTTCAAACCCACCAGCCACTCCTCAGAAGGAAGGTCGGGCATTCTACTTCCGTAGTGATATCGCCTCGGAAACCCAAGGAGGGGTCACTAAGAGTCGGGTCCAACTCCACGGCACATAACAACAATAACAACAACAGGGATAATTTTAGGCCTTTAGGGATGCAACAGTGAAAAACAAAGGTGAAAATCCTTGCCTTGAGGAGTTATAGAATGACTATAGAAGATTTTGTTTTGCTGTTAAAAGCAACTAACAATCCTGGAAATAAAGTATTTTGTTACATGTGATTTAACTTGCTTTCCCTGGGAGTAGACCTAGGAAAAGATTCTGGGCCAAGGGTTCCCATTAATTCAGTCTGGATGAACTACTGTGAGAATTAAGCAAGAGGCAGTACCACGCTGAGGATCTGTCTAACCAGCTCCACAAGGCCATTAAAAACAGGAGTAATCATGTAAGAGCAACTCCAAAAGTATGTCCACAAGCTCCGAGCAGAACAGAAACCACTAGGGTCAATTTTCCGGTAAGTAACTCCAAAATTACACTAGGGCTATTTAAATAAGAATTATTCAAGAATTTAGAATTTAAAAAGAAAGTCAAAGAGAATATTTATTACATAGGGCTTCTTTATTAAATTGTAATCCTCTCTAAATAGGAACAAATAACTTCAATCATGAAGAGTCCTGGTTCAAAAGTTTGCAAGGTCACACTATTTGCTGCAAAATGCTAAGCTGGACACCTTTTCATTAATCATGTCATTAGGATGGAGTTTCAAATTACACCTCCCTCAAAACAGCTGTGTTATAATGGGCTATAAAATCTGATCTTTGCTTTCTTTGATGGCAGTTCCCACAGCTTCCTCACATGTACCAACTCCAGCTACAATGGCCCCTGCTGTTTGCTCCACACATCCACCACATGCTTACCTCAGGGCCTCTTGACTGGCAGCCTTCTCTGCTTGGAATGTGCTTCTCAGATCTCTGCATCTCCCCGCCCATCCTTATCAGAGATGTCTTCCCTGACTAGGAACTCCTTACCCTGCTTTATTTTCTCCACCTCCTGTATTTTATGTATATGTATATGTATTTTATGTATATGGTTTCTTTACTGTCCACCCTTTCACCATCCCACCCAGCCACCCACACACACACACACATGAACAGAAGCTTTACAAGAACAGGAACTGACTGTTCACTGCTGCATTCCCAGCACCAAATATCAGTGCCCAGCATGTCGTGGACACTCCAGTATTTTTAACGACCAAATCAATGAAGTGATGAAAAAAAAACTAGGATGCAAAATTGTATATTTGTATGTGAGCTCAATTATTATAAAAAGGGGAAGAACAGAAAAAAAGAAAAGACTGGAAAAACCTGCTTCTGTAAACTTTCAGACTCTCCAAAGTTTCTCAGATCATCATTGATTACTCTTATGTTCACATAACAAGATGGAAATAAGGTAAAAAGAAAACAAACAAATATACTGCAGTCTCACAACATTAGTGCTCCATGTTAGAGCCCAGAGCCTGGGGGGGCAGTTTATAAGACTCCATTTGCCCCCTCCTCCATTCAACTGACAGTCTTGTCCACAACCCTTAAAGCTTTCTAAGGAGCTAGGATAGGATATTAATCTTCATATTCTCTATGTTGTCAATCAGTGTCTGATGCCTACCAGATCTATTGTAAATATGCATACAAGAATTCACACAGCAAAGAGCTTCTGCTTTAGCAATATATCTCCCATAAGAATACCTAACTTTATTCCTACTAGGGGATGTAAGCTTTCAGAAGTGAAAAACTTCTTTTGACTGTATTAAAAGTTTTGGGGTTCCTCTCTTTGAAGCAAGAGTTATGAAAGGTTTGATCTGTATTACCAGCTCCTGGAGATTTGGCATTGAAGTGATCAGTCTAGATCCAACTCTAGACAATTTTGGACCTGATCCCGCTAGCCTTCACCCTTAGGCTTGTATCACTCATGGTTGTGTTTTATTAGTGACACGAGGACTCATCTTATCTTCCTCATAAGACTCCTGGATGATAGAGCTATCATTTTGTTCATTCTTAGCACCAAGTAATCCACCTGGCCCCACAGCATCCAGTTTGTAGAGGCAGGTGCTTAGTAGTACATGATTTACAAAAATGATTAAGTTCATAGACCCCAAAGTCAAGTCCAAAGTTAAATTGTTCCCCAAGTTACTTTCTCCTTCGTTTCAGAAAATCTTTTTCAAAACAAACTGTATGGCAGCATAAATCCAACAGTGAAACCCCATGCACTTCCCTCCCACTTAGGGGAAGCTACAGAACTGGAGGTAACAAGATAAGCTGGTTCTCACCAGAAAGGACCCACCTGTAATATGAGGGACTCCTTATCTCCTTCTAGACGTGCCAAGCGTTCTTGGTAGGTTTCATTACTAGCAGTACTGTGGGGGTTTACCTGGGACTAGAGAGGGAAAAAAGAAGACACTTAAAAGGTTGGGAAAACATCTGCAATTTGTGAGGACTGTTTGGCTAATTATATGTGCAAAACCATCCACCAAAACAGGAAACCACGGGATTTCAAAATTACTACAAGGAGGACCAGACCACATGCCGTTGAAAGGTGTGCCCTGAAAGTTGGCAAAACCAGCCCCTGGATGACCTCATCCTTGCCTGAGAGGGCCTCCATGGAGCTCCAGACCCAGTGGTGCATGATTTGATTCAACATGTTGGGTCTGGTTTAGCTGGAGACACTAGCCTGAGAGAGGCACCAGCAACAATAATATTCTTTGAGAACAGCGAGCTAGTACCAGTCAACAAGGAACTATGTAGTAATAACTCCTACACAGACCTTGGTATCTCCTAACTTTTCAGCCAGGGTCCTCTGGAGTCATGGTACATATGGCAGCACGGAGGTCTGTCCAGAACACGGCAATGTGCATGAAGAGCAGAGGATGCCAACTGCATAGCCTTTTTCTACTCACATGTCCCCTCAACAAGTAGCCAACCTCACTCCCTGAGATGCAGTCTGGCGGCCAGGCTGGCACACCATGATACCCCAATGATAGGAGCAATCTAAGATGAAGCATCTTGACAAGAACCTAAATAAGAGCCAGAGGGATCTCAAAGGACTAAGCAGAGGGAAAACATGCAAACTGGAAAACAGTCACAAACCATGGAAAACAGAGGAAAGGGACGGAATTTGAAAAGGCAAGTGAGAAACAGAGTCTTGTAAAATGAGACAGGAGCTGCAGTCACTTTCTAGGGCATGTCTGGCCTGGGTGTGGACATTTGAGGAGGAGGGAAGGAGCTGCAAATGGCACCAAGCTGGCCAGCCACCACCAATGTTTCCTCCTCTGAAACTAGGGCCCCCCAGTAGGCCATTTGGAGGCTGCACAGGCTGAAAAAGCAGATTTTATTGTGAACTGGGGAACTGATGGTCTTGATAATCTGGGCTGACAGAGGAATAAGTGCTCCGATACACATGAGCAGTGTCCACCTCCCCAGAGGAAAGTCATGGCTAAGCAAAGGAGGAGATCAGAGAGGAAACCCAAGTACTTTCTCCTGAGACCATTTTGATCTTCAGGAATTGGCACTCCATCCTACTCCATGAGAAAGGGCACCTCCTTCTTCCCCTTATCCCACCCTTCCAAAGCACTGGCTGGTGAGGGCAGGTGACAGAGCCAGGCCCAGTCCTAGAACAGCAATGAGAAGCAAGCATTCTTCTTCATTCAAGCCCAGGAGCCTATATGTGAGAGAAGCAGTGGCTGTTTGCTAAAGATGTGGTGCAAAGGCTGGCAGGGGCCATTTCCCAGGGCAGCTATGACAGGCACAGTCTAGAGATGGTGCCTGATGCCACACCACTGCCTTTTGTTCCAGCCTCTCAAGTTGTCTTCTTGTTCATGGTTACGGAACCTCTTTTATACCATAGACAAAGAGCCTTAACAATCACAAATGACCTCTTTGTTGATGGCAGTTTATTGTTGTTACATTAATTAATATGCCAGTTCTAACATGGTCAAACTCTCTGACTAGCATCCAAAGATATTAACTATAACCTACATTTTCTCAGAACCTGACAAGAAAAGAGAAGAGAACAATTCTTAACAGCAGGTCAAATGCTTCTCTCTCAAAGAATTCACGTGATTGATTTTCAGGGGACAGAGAGAACAGAAAAAAATAAAAAAAAGAAAGACCCAGGCACCTAAGGAAAGCTCTGCACATTGGACCCAGTATCAATATTAGTGTGTGCACTGGGTTACCCAGCACTGGCAAGTTGCCAGTTTTCTAGGAGAAAGTGAAGGAGAAAAGACCAAAGCACAGATTCCTTTTACAAGACTCCAGCAAGCCACTATACCAACTGTGCCTTATTCAAATGGTGTGCATTATGTTCCTCATTATAATAAAAGACCTACCCATACACTCACCATGGAGGCAGATGTTTTTATTAGTTGACAAAAATAAATAAATAAATAAATAAGGGTAAGAAAGGAAGATGAAGTCATGAGCCTGCTTAATACATAAAATGTATGCTAGAAATTCCATAATACTTGCTAGAAGTGGAATAAAAATTTGTATCCACTCTGGCAGGAGCTCTGGTAGCATAGTGGCTAAAGCACTTGACTGCTAACCAGAAGGCTGGCGGTTCAAACCCACCAGCCACTCCTTGGAAGGAAGGTTGGGCAATCCTACTTCCGTAGTGATACTGCCTCGGAAACCCAAGGAGGGGTCACTATGAGTCGGGGCCGACTCGACGGCACATAACAACAACAACAACAACAATCCACTCTGGCAGTCAATAGAAAAAGGGAAGCATGATCAGGTAAAAAGGTGCACAGATCTATATGGTAAAACCAAATTGACTGAATACACTTAGGAGAAGCATAACTATTCCTGAGGCAGAGATCAGGAGAAATTTCTCTTATTTCCACAGAAAGGCTCTGTGTAATGAGAGAAACATCATCCATAACAACATCCTTATAGTAAAAGAGCCCAGAAGAATTCATTGCTCTCCTGTGAGCCCTCAAAATAGGTCAAAGGCCAAGGGATAATACAGGCCAAAAGTCAAAGTAACTCTACAGAGAGCAATACAATGTCGTCCAAGTACAATGCTGTAAATACATAGCAAACACTTACATGGCACTAATATCGTGCCAGAAGCTCTGGTAGCACAGTGCCTAAGGCACTTGACTGCTAACCTGAAGGCTGGTGGTTCAAACCCACCAGCCACTCCTCGGAAGGAAGGTTGGGCAATCCTACTTCTGTAGTGATACTGCCTTGGAAACCCAAGGAGGGGTCGCTATGAGTCGGGGCCGACCCGACGGCACATAACAACAACAACAACAACATCATGCCAGACAGTATTCAGTGAACTTTACAGGTATCATCTCATTTAATTCTTCCCACACCCCATGAAATAAGTATTATTTTTATTCCCACTTCTCAGATAAAGGAATGAGGCACAAAGTAAATGGCCAAGGCATATGCATTATTTGCCCAAGCTACTAAGTGGCAAATTGTGAGCTTTAGGTTGTTATAGCTTAATTGAGGCGTAGACCAATTCCAAATTTTATTTATTCTATAAATTGGGATTATGTAGGAAAATTCACTTAAAATAAAGCATTGCTGCTAAAGAAAAGTTTGAAAACACTGTCTGAACCTGAATATTCATTCATAGAAGAATAGTTACATAAACTATGGCTCATCTATATTAAGGGAAATGTAGCATGTAAAACATGAGTTAGATAAGTATGTATCATAGTAAAAATATAGGACATATTCAATAACGAGAAAAGATGCTGCAAAAGAATCATACAGTGTGATACCAGAAAACAATATTATACAACTTCATAGGTAAATTTACATATGTCAAGAAAATAAAATGAAAAAGTTGTTATGTGCCGTCGAGTCGGACCCGACTCATAGTGAGGCCTCCTCGGGTTTCTGAAGCAGTATTACTATGAAAGAACAGTGCCCAACCTTCCTTCCGAGGAGTGGCTGGTGGGTTTGAACTGCCAGCCTTCTGGTTAGCCGTCAAGTGCCTTAGGCACTATGCTAACAGTACCCTCCCCTAGGGGAGAAACAAAACTATTCCAGAGACTGTGGAAACCGAGGGGTGGGAAGTTTGATCAAGGTAGACTTCTACTTTAACCATAATGCTTGAATTTCTACAAAACATACAAAATGCATTTCTTTCCCTGAGTAACTAAAAAATATTTTTAAAACTAGAAGCAATGTTTGAGTACTGAGAATAGTGGTTCCTGGATTTTTATATCACCTGCAGCAGACAACAATCCTCTCTCAGCAGTCACACTCATCCATACAGCAATGAGGCTCATGGGAGGAAGGGTCCCTCCCTAACCCCAAATCATTACTCTAGAGGAAAAGAGCACTTTCCTCCCAAATCACTGATGTCCTCTGACAAGCTTCTGAAAGGTATTATATAGCAATAAACTCAAGAAAATAGTCATAGACAAAAGTTGCATTATTGTCATCTTTTGCTTTTGGCCACCAGATGGTACAACAATCTAGATTAAGACTGTCTTCTTCTGAAGAAAACTGCAGCTTCTCAGCAGGGCACAGGCCAGGATAAAATGCCACTCCATGTGAAGAAGAACCTAGAAAGCATCTGAGAGCAGAGCCAAGAAGAGGATTATTTTAGAATTATCTCGTTGAATAATACTGTTGGCTAATATTCATCATCCAAAGCTCAGATTTGAGTTTGGGAGGGAACTCTTTATTCCAGTAATTGGGCAACAGATTCAATCACTTCCTGAAGCCATTCTTGCATTATAAAAGGGCTGCATCATCAGGGAATAAAAGGTCATGTGGTTATCAAAATGGCATTCCAATTATTCAGAAACATGTTTAAAAAGACAGAGCTGAGACAAAAATCATTTAATGCACTACATTAAAAAGAAGTTGCTTTGTCAGAAAATACACTTGCTTCCTTAATTCTTTTAGTAGATTTGCAATAGGAAGCTGAGTGATTCCAGGTTGTGGAGTCTCTGAAAAGTCTTGCCCACATTCTCTGTGAGGGAAATCTGTGATACAGCAGGTGAGCACAGGTTCTCCAGCTCTCCCTGCTTGAAGTCAGACTGAAGGAACTCTGCCAGCCCTACACTGAGAAAAAGTCAAATAGAGTTTTGAAGGCTGCCACATGCTAACTTCCTATTCTTCCCCTCTCTGGAATCGTAAGTGAATTTAAAGGAGAGGTGATCATGATCTCCTCTGTTGAGGACGGAGAACACCTACATAGAGATTTCCTCTGAACCCTGCTTTAATGGAATTTACTGTTTGGTGTGTCCAGAATACCAAAGCCAAACCCACTGCCATCAAGTCAATTCCAACACATAGCAACCCTATAGGACAGAGAACTGCCCTGTAGGGTTTCCAAGGCTGTAAATCTTTATGGAAGCAAATTGCCTCATCTTTCTCTCATGGAGCACCTGGTGGTTCCCTTCT